TACGGATATGGCGGAACTGGAAAGACATTTGTTTGGAAAACTTTGTCCGCCTCTATACGTTCAAGGGGACATATCGTGTTAAATGTTGCTTCAAGCGGTATTGCATCGCTATTGTTACCAGGTGGAAGAACTGCGCACTCTCGATTTGGAATTCCAATCAATCCTCATGAAAATTCTACATGCAACATTAAACAAAAGACGCCATTGGCAGATTTATTGGTTCAAAGCAAACTAATTATCTAGGATGAAGCTCCAATGACCCATAACTATTGTTTTGAAGCTGTAGACAGAAGTTTACGTGATGTGATGAGTGTCGTCGATCGAACCAATTCTCAGCTACCATTTGGAGGGAAGACAATTGTTTTTGGGGGAGATTTTCGACAAATACTACCAGTGATTCTTAAAGGGAGAAGACAAGACATTGTCAACGCTACGATTAATTCATCATATCTATGGAAATATTGTACAGTTCTATGTTTGACAACCAACATGCGTTTGCAACACATGGCCCGCGATGATAATTTTGAGGAAATGTCAGAATTTGCCAAGTGGATTGCAAGTATCGGCGATGGACTGGCTGGGCAGGAAAACGATGGGGTTGGTGAGGTTCTTATACCCGATGATTTGTTGATTAAAAGTACAAGTGATCCGATTGTGTCTGTTGTGAATTCAACTTATCCAGACTTTCACAATATCGCGGTTGATCCACTTATTTGCAAAGCAGGGCAATCTTGGCACCAACTCTATAAGTGGTTGATGAAATCAATGAATACATGACCTCATTGAACCAATTAGGCGAAGCTAAAAGTTACTTGGGTTCAGATGCGGTGTGTAAATCCGATTCAAATTCAGATTTCTTAAGTGACATACATTCTCCTGAATTTTTAAATAACATCCGAGCAACTGGGGTCCCAAACCATGAATTGAAGTTAAAGATTGGGACACCTGTGATGTGGTTAAGGAATATAGACTAGTCTTCAGGTTTGTGCAATGGAACTAGGTTGATCGTTACACGACTTGGCAATCATCTAATTCAAGGCAAAGTCTTGACAGGGAAAAATATTGGTCAAGAAGTTGTTATCCCCCGATTGTTGCTTACACCGTCGGATACAAGAATTCCTTTTAAATTTCAAAGAAGTTTTCCAAAACTTATAGTTGTATTATTGCTTATTTTGCATTGCTGTAAAACGCATCCTCTTTAATGTACATTATGTATCTTTACTATAACCAAAATTAATCTCTTAATTATATCAATGCTTCTCCTAATTATATAATTTATAATTAGGCCGTGCAACGCACGGGTTCGAGTCTAGTTATTTATCAAATGATCAACGAAAACATGTATCTAAACATAAGTTGTTGCGAGATTGTAATCGTAAACATAAGAAAGATATGGGACGAAGGGAGTAAATATTTATTTAATTTCAGGTTTAATATTGAATCCCAATTATTGAAAAAGTCAAAATTAGACAAATACTCCATGACTTGTTCATTGTCAATGGTTCCTCTGATCCAAAATATTTATCCTCTTTTGACTTGTTAATTATAGTCAAGCATGATCAAAGTTTAACCTATAATTATAGTATATTAATTAAATAAAATAATGTTTAAAAATATTTTACAATATAAATCTAATAAAATTATTTTTATATCAATATTTAGTACCAACTTTTTTATTTCATGATCAGAATTGACTACAAAAAGTTAAGACTAAACAAACAATTCGGGTGATATAATACTCCCTTCGTTCAATATTTTTCTTCCATTTTGAATTTGTGATCAATGTTTTTAAGCTACAAATTACAAAAATATATATATTAAATTGTATCATAAATTTAAATCAATAGATTCATTTTGAAAAGTTATTTTGAAATATTTCATATCAAATTTATAGTATTCTATAATATGTTTATATATAAATAGAAATATTAATAGTCAAAGTTTATTCACAAAATTCTATAATATACACGCTAAAATACAGGGCTATTACATTGTTTATTACGAGTAAAATTATTTTAGAGGTAGTTTAGATACTTTAGATAGTATTTTTCCTTGTTATTTCATAAAAAACCACCATAAATAGAGTAAAACATAGAGAAATAAACTAAAATAAAGGCTCTATGTTTTTCTCTCCAAAATATGAGTTTGTATTGTAGTGATATGATATTTCGTATAGACATTTCACAATACTTTTAAAATTATATATTGACATAATTGACATTGCATATGCATTTTATATAACGCCTATTTTTGTATATTTTTTATATGTTACTCACATTTTAATCTTTTTTCCTTGTTTTTATATAGAAAGATGTAAATCAGATGTAAATCAAATACGCAGACTTCTATTCCTACCATTACAAGGAAAGTCACCAAACCAAATCTCAAAGAATTTCGGTTTCCTTTTCTATGTCTATCTCTCGTATCTCTCATTCTCTCATAACACACCTGATTAATAAGATGTACTCCCTCTGTTCCTTAAAACCATTCCCATTTTGACTTTGGGCAAAAATAAGGAAAGTGTAATTTTGGTTGACTTTCCAATTTTGTCCCTGATGTGATGGGTAAAAATAAGATGTGATAGTTTAGTTATTAGTGAAAAAGTATGATGTGATAGGTAGGGTATGAAAAAGTAGAGGTAGAAGTGATTTTTTAATAGAAAGTGGAAGTGTTTTAGAGAATTGAAAAAAACCAAAAGAGAAGGGTTTTAAGGAACGGAGGGAGTATATTAGAGAATGCAAAGTATATATATGCTCTGTTTGGATAATGACTTTTCACTTAAAGTGTTGACTTTTTTATACCATAAATAGCCATTTTGATGAGTCAACCACCAAATCTCTAAATAAGGCCATTAATCATCTCCAAACAAGATTATTTAGGTGCAGTGGAAGAACTTCACAATCAAGGGAATGCAGCGGCAGGCCTCTTGATCATTTCGGTTATCTCAGCCTCCAAAACGAAGCCCTTTCTGTCGTGTTGTTTCCAATAGTCGGACATAGGATTGATCCACTCGGGCTCAGGGATGTCTACGCGGGACCCCTTCAGCCTGTCTGTGGATATTTTGTACTTGTGGTCCCTGTTGTACACCAAATCGGGTTTCACCATCCCTAGATTCACTCCCTGTGGAGACATCATTAGGGATGGCGTCCCTATTGGAAGCTTGTCACCTGCATTCATATATATATATATATGCACCATAAACTACTACAATTATTATTCCATGGTCTTTTAAACAAATTTAAACCACACATTTTCACTTTTCAACCTTTGTTTTTAATTTTGTAAAGTCAAACAATAAAGTTCTTTTTGAGACAGATAAACTATATGAGACTATATTTAAATTATGTGTAATACCTCTCTGAGTGTGCCAAGTGCACCAGAATTTGCCATAGGTCTTGGCAAGATTTTCAAGCTCAGGTCTCACCACCACCTCTGGTAGTCTTGGACTCACCCATAATCCCGATTTTATCTGCGCGTACATTTAAAATTTGATAACAAATTGTGACACTACAAAAAAACGCGCTTTTCTCTGGGATTTTGTCACGGACACTCCTCATCTCATATTTCCGATACTAGGGTTAGGTTGTTGTCACGGATGTTTGTCATGGCTATAGCCACGGCAAATGCAGTGACAAAATGAAAATTCATGTAGCGTCGTTCTGGTGACAATTAGGGACAATATTCGATACAAGGGTTGTCACGGAGTGATGCCGTGACAAATATCTGTGACAAACACGCGTTTTTTTAGTGAAAAAAAATTGTGTTCAATATCGATAGTTTGAATTGGAATATATATATATATATATATATATATATATATATATATATATATATATATATATATATATATATATATATATATATATATATATATA